AGACAAATCCACAGACAGATAAATGTTTCAAAGTTAAAAGTAAGTAAAGTGATTACCACCCAACATGATTAAGAACCGTCCCGATAGAGCCAGCTTTCGACCTAAAAAGCCGCATTCAAATAGGTTACAAATAAGGCTGTTTGTCATTCGGTAACAACCCTCATGGCAAACCAATTTTTTCTCAAGGTAGCATTTTACCGTTACCTTATATTTCTCATAATGGTTCGCTGCATTTTATATGTTATAGACAATTCTACAAAAACTATCAAATTTGAGGATTACACTCGCAACAAACCTAGTCAGACATGCGATTCCGTTTGTCTAAAAGTTAAAGGGTCTTACATACTTTTGATATTGAAATTTTTGAAAGTACTAATAAAGAACATTTTAAAAAATTTAAAGCTTTTGTCACAGTTTTAGTAAGTGATTAAAGACTTTCATGCTGTAACGCTCTTTATAATTACTTACAATGAGTTTTATTTTGATCTTGCGCAGAGTATTTGAGATATATATGTTATGTTGCTTTTTTGTCTTTAATTCTGTTTTCTTATTTTTGACATTGTACACACTTACATGTATCGCATATTTATGTTACACAATGAATAAATTTTAGTTCTTTATTTACATAATGGTGGTCACGGTCACAGCTATATCCAAATTCGGCTGATTAGTTCTAGCACCTACATCTGGAATATGTGCTATTGTTGTATCGTCGTAATAGGAAAATTCTATATTTAGTAACGAGACAATGTTGAAACTTGTTGTATAAAACAAAGTACATAAGTATATTCTTTCATTCATTGGTGTCTTCATTAAGAGTAGGATGAGGGTACCAATGACAAGTTATATATCTCAATACGTGTGATTTATTAATTAATTCATCGGTGTCTAAAACTTTGTACATATAGATTTTTGAGAAAAACTTAAAAATCTTACAAAATAGCTTACAAATTAGAACACCGATCCTGTAAAATTTGGGCAAATTTAAGCAGGGTAAATTACTAATCAGAATATATCTGTTTATCTTTTCCAAAAACCTGTTGGAGCCATTTTTTAATTTTATTGAGAAATTTTACTTGGAACATATAGGGGAATTTAGTGAATACACAAAAACAATTAAAATTTGTTTTCCTACCCTTCTAGAAAACTAATACGATCATCAAAATGTATTAAGGCAAATTTTGTTAAAATATGTGTTTCGAAATGCAACGTTGTTTGTGCTTTAGAAATGTAGTTTTAATTTTAAAGTTATGTACACAGTTTATACAAAATTTTGGGAACACAGGTCTACTGTTATTTTAATGCAGGAGTATGTATTTTTATAAAAAAATTAAATTCAAAATATTAACTTTTATAATTTATCTAAGAAAAAGCCCTGTGAGATTAACTAAGCTTTGGGGGAGAGAGAAGTTCTGTCTAAATAATTTATAACCCAGCCAAAGCATTGCTAAGTTTTCATTAACATTCTAAATACATATTATTCTTGTGCACATTTGAGTTGCATAAACTGACATTTCACAAATTCAGAGCGTGATAATTAGTGAACACAAATTTTGTTATTTTCCACAATTTTTATTGTTATAAAAATATAGTTAAATGTTTCTATTGCGACGCAAAATTTTCAAATATCGCTTTATCAAAATAAATGTGTTGTAGTCTCCCAAGTCTTTGATGTTATCTGATATTGTTCATATATCACTCTTTTCCTCTTTTCTATTTGACTATTCACAACTTCCGCATTTCTCTATCAAAGCATTTTGTTGCTTTGATAAGCTCAAATTAATGCCATATTTGCTTTTATACTTTAGGTTTATTTCCTGGTAAGTTAGTTCAGTTTCGTAAATGGTAATTTTATTTTTCAGTACACTGAGTTAGTTTAAACTTTGTGTTGGAATGCTCATAATAGTTATAATGTATTGAGTCTTAAGAAACATTAATTGTTAATCTGACGTTCAAAACGTCAGCCCTAAAACAGAAAGTTAAAAAAAACTGTCTCCACTCCTTGCTACGCCTTTACTCGGTAGCCCTCCCTTTGATAAATTACCTCCGACAAATAAATTTTCCCACATCAACATGATCCGAGAAAGTTTCCATTCTAAACTTTTCTTTTATCTATCGAGCGTTCACCCTTTTGCATGAAACTAGGTATAATGACATAAAAACGGCGTCCTTGAAAATCACTCTCCAACTGTGCTTGGCCTATGCTGTGTCGGTTGAGGTTCCATTTTCTCCTCCTGTTATCTAAAATCTGGTTTCCCTTCTCGAACTACCATAAAATTTTTATCTTTTTCTACTGACTGCTTTCAAACAGCGAACTTCAATTACCCCGAAAACAACAAAAAGCTGTACCGGCAAATTGAAAAAAGTGCAAAATATACTCGTATAGAGCAGAAAGCTATAGATTATCTTGTTCGAGTCCAGTTAACGTAAAAACTGGAAAAAAAAGGCATAAAAATCACAAAACTTTTATCAAAGTGCTGGTGCACCAGAAAACTTTGCTTTTCTCATTTCATGCTTCAGATTTACAACTCTCTTATGGCTGTAATAAAGTGTTGTTTTTTCTCATGGTTCACATGGGGATTTATTTTTCCAAGCTTGCTAATTACATGCGTTTATAATAAAATGGGTGCACTTTGGTCTTGTTAGGGTGGAATTACGGTGTGTTTTATCGGGTAATAAGTTTGCAAGATGTATTAAACTGCTAGTGCAGAAGCTTGTAAGAGGAAGCGTTTTATTAATCTACAATTAGAAACTCTGCATGGTGTTTGAAGTTTAAACAGAATTCAGAATAGCTTCTTGGGTAAATACAGTCTACTAAAGATGCAAGATTAGAAGTGTCAGCAACACCGGCTGAAAGGATAATTAGTGAATAATATGTTGATGATATATCAACAAATGTTAAATATTCTTAAGAAGCAGTAATGGATTCATAAGGTGAGGTGTATGTTACAAATAAACTAAATAGTTATTTAAAAGTTGCAGTTGAACGAAATCAGAATTATATAAATCACTCAATCATGATTCACTATTAATATACCAGGATATACTTACTATTATATATTATGATTAGGGGGACAATAATTAGTATTACCTTTAGATTGTAAAATTATGATTTTTCACAAAAATTTTGTAATGAGATTAATCGTGAGAAAAATCGTCCATTTACGTAAAACTGAAGTACCATGATTCAACAGGTTTTTGTTTCACCTGTTACATAAAATTACACGTAGTGACTGATTATGTATGTACCTAATTTTACATGACTTTTGAGAAAATCTTACTTTATCAATATCATTTATTTCCCAAAACAATGTAACGGTATTTTACGTGGCAAGGTAAGTAACGTAGGTTTTTACCAAACGAGCTATGTTTGGAACGCGAGCTTCGAATGAGCGAGCGATTTAATTTGCGAAGTAAAAACTTTAAAAAATCAACAATTTTTGTAAAAAAATCATAACCTTGAAACAGATAGACCCTTCTATGACATCATTTCAAACCATTGCAACAAAACTATTTTTAAACCGGTATTAATATGTAATCAATAATCATTTTTCGTCATAAAACTGTTACAATACCCTGTACAATTCAGGATTTGAATTAAGTTGAATTGTAAAAAAGTTGCCTACAAATTTAGAGGAAGATTTACATTAATGTATAAAATTATACACAACATAATATAAAAAGTGTGGCGGCACAATAATACGTAGTAGTAAGCGAGGAAAGATAAGCTCCTCCGTAGTCTAGTGGTAAGGGTACCCGCCCGGCAAGCGGTAAACGTGCGGTTCGATTCCCACCGGAGAAGCAACATTTTTCTTCGCTTACCTACAATAGCAACAGCAAAATAAAATTGTTGTTCGTTATGATTGAAGTAGGTAGGTATTTACGAGTATGTTCATTAAATTGTGAAAAGTTTTACAATAAATCACAAGTATATGTAAGTATCACATAATTCGTCCAACCAAAAATATTCCATTACAATTAAGAGCCATATAAGAATTTGCAAAGCAGTTTTTGCAAAAATTTGCTCTACTATTTTTTGTAGTCAGTTGAAATGGAATTTTGCCTATGACGATACTTTTGTTTGCTGTCTACTTCCAAAATATCGGTACATGCGTCAGCGCACGACCAATTATGTTTAATGGATTGGCCGTTCCTGTATTCAGTGAACGATCAGTTTACTGCCAGACCAATATATTCCGAACAATTTCCACTAGGTTCTTTTTTTCAAAATTTCCACAGGTAATTACAATTTGTCATGAAACTTGATTTTGTACGGGGGTGTTATCATAAAATATCCACTTTATCCTTTACGTCCTCGACTAATGCCAAACTCAATTTATCTCATGTCTCCCCTGTCATTTCAAATATTAGCATAATCTTAAAAAATCATTAATTATATCATTTACTTGCTTTCTGGGATAAGATAAAAAATTACCTCTCTCGTTAAAAAGTTTTCACCATCCGTTTTTGTTAGAAAGTTTTTAACATTCTCTCTTGTTAGTATCTTAGATTTTTGAAGGCTATAGCTTTTGGACTATGTTTATAATATAATTATTATTATTATTAACAACTGCAGCTCGCTGTAGTTATCAGCACGTAAATATGTAACTGTCCACTGTCTGCATATACACAGTGACATATCTACATATGTTATTTAAAGTTAAGATTACTGCATTTGCATTCTGCCTGGCTAAATTACAAAATAAAATGTTATTAATATAATCCTTAGGGATACATATAAAGATATCATATTAAGAGTTTTTGCAAACAAACAGCTACTATGGATCAAACCATCTAACACAATTTTCAGTAATATTTAACACATAACATGAAGTCATTTACATCAGCTTTTCAGTTCAAACATCATTAAATAAATTTTTACACAACATCTACGCAATCATTTTGTGAACTTTGCAAATCTGTAAAATGATAATTTTATCACTCGATCATGATGATGTATCAACCTGCAACCTTCAATAAACAAACACCCTCTTTTTCAGGTCGATAACCAACAAGTGGAGGGTATCGATCACCCCCTTAAAACATCGCCCCACGATTAACGGTGAGTGATTTCGTTAATTGGCATGTTTTGTCTTTGTCTTAATTTCGTATTCGATTGGCTCGCGGGAAGACTAGGAACTTTTATTAATTCCATTAGTCTCCTTTAGTTTATTTGAATCTACTTCGGCCGAATTTTCGCAGATTCTTTAATTTGATTCTCACATGTATAAAGAAAACTGTGTGAAACTTGGTTGGTAAGGCGTGTACAGTTAAAAGCTAAGTATCTTATCAAACTTTCCATAACTAGGATTTCGAGACAATATGGGCTCTGAAGTTGGTAAATGAAGCCTCTTACATGTACTTAACATGTGAAGGAAGTGCTGACATGTGTCTATAGTTTTTGGAAGGGTATTATTATATGTAGTTGGAAGCTTTTGAGATGCTCTGTATGATGAGAAATGTTTAAAGTATCGGGAAAATCGCATAATCACTCAAAAGTTGTATACGTTTTGCTTTATCAGTATTTACGAAAATACAGACGTCGCCTAACAGAAAATATTGTACATCTGCAAGTCCAAAATGTGGATATTTTTTTACTTTTTTGGAGGACGAAAGTAAAAGAACTAGAAGTTGTAGAATAAAAGATTTTATAGGAAGTTGCTTAAACTTCTGTTTTTTTTATACATATGTATGTTAGGAATGACGTGTAGGTGGTAAAACACTAACTAAAATTTTCCTAATGATCCCCTAAAAAAACGGGAGGATGTCATCTTCAACAATTTACAATAGTAAATGTTAAATTTTATTGAGTAAATTTGCCTGCACTTGCGGTTTATGAATCCGTGTTGAGTTTTTACCTTAGACATCCAGATTTTTGGAAAAAAAAATTGTCGAATAAAATCCTATCTCAAAAATGGAAATATGTAAAATATTATGAATCTATACTTGTGGTATTCATACCTTTTTGGAATTACTTATACATGATGGCTTAAAATATGAATGAATGAGACAATTTATTTTATTGATCAAAAGAACGGTTCACCCCGTTTTATCGAAAATTTGAGTGTATAATATTGGTATTATTGGTATTCGCAAAATTAATAAGCACGGTGTGATGCCAGTGACGATAGATATAATGTAGCGTCCGGCGGGGTTGTTGTCTGAGAAGTAGCTGTTTCCACTAATTCACTACCAACATCTTATATCTCATTAACCGTATGAAACTTTGAGAATTAAAATACTCTTATTGTACTCAACCGACCCAAATTATTAAACGTGTCCCTGCTAAAATGTTACACCTCATCACAAAACTTTGTATTAAAAAATTAATTTGAAATACATGCATAGCGTGTTTCTTTACCTTTACTTTAACTTCTAGGGTATATCATAAAAAATAAAATTAGTAAAATTATAGTTTTTTTTTAGTTTTGCGATTTATGTATTACTGACTGTCGTTTTTATTATGTTCGTGTTGCACTTTTGGTAAGTAGTATTTATTTTCAGCAGAAGTTAAAGAAAATTATCTTTAAAATTCCTATATCTGCGGGAACTAAAATATTTGAAGGGTTGTCTTCTAGAGGATAATATGTATATCAGAAATATCTTATTCATAGTTTTCTGGTCTGAGATTATTGTATAATATTTCATTGTGTGTTGTTAAGGCTGGTGCAAATTCGGCAAAATCTGTTCCTTTAAAGGAAATATTTCACACACAGAATTTACTGATAGCATTGCCAGGAATGACACTTCTTAAATAATCTTGATAAATGCCCGGTTGCGGGGTTGCAACTTCAGCGATATATGAGGTGGAATGCAAAGAATATGTATGTATTTATATGATTTTCTTTAAAGCGTAACAAGAGGTTTACATTTTTGTATCAATTGGAGGATTGTCCAAGATGAGACAAATTGAGGAATTTTCCATACCTACCATTAGCCGTGCTACAGAGTGTCATGTTACAACTACGAGTGATTTTTACTCCCGGTTCACTTGCTAGGCGTATACATTTTTTTGGTAAAATTTCGGGAAATTTATTTTATTTTTACTTCCCGAGCGTAAGCAAAGGGAGTATTGAAACGGAGTCCGTCGGTCGACTCACTACTTTTACATTTTCTCGACATTTCATGACCCCTAGACGACGAAGAAATAAGTCTTCCGTTTCCGTCTGTCTGTCCGTCTGCCTGTCTGTCCGTCTGTCTGTCTGTCCGTCTGTCTGTCTGTCCGTCTGTCTGTCTGTCCGTATGTCTGTCCGTCTGTCTGCGATCCCGGATTTTTTTTAGAAGGATAATTTCCGAAAGTACTGGGCCGATTGTTGTCAAATTTTGTATTAATATTAGGAATATTATGTAGATGGTAAAACGCTAACGAAAATTTGTCTAATCATCCCCACCAATAATGTACTTAGTAAATGGGTTTTAAATTCTATAAAATAACATAGTCCTACACATGTAGTTTATGACTCCGAATTGAGTTTCTACCCGAAACGTCCACATTTTTGTAAAAAAAATCAAAATTAAGAAACAATATTTTACAACTGAATTTGGAATCTGCAAAACCGAATGCTTTGAAATCTTGCAGATGGTTTACAGTTTTGATAAGTATGATACATTTTTAATAAAAATGTATTTACTTACCCCCCTGAAAAATTGATGACGTCACCCCAAAATTTTGCTGAATAAATCCTATCTAAAATGTACAAAATATGATGAGTCTGTACTTGTGATTTATCACTCCATTCATATTTTTTGGCTTTGCATATACAAACTCGAAAAAACATAAATGCTTTGAAATGTTGGAGATGTTCTAAAGCTATCATAGGCATGGTAGTTTTAATCAAAATGTATTTGGTCATACCCCCTAAAAAATTGATGACGCCATTAATATCTTTTAGATTATTTGCTTATACGGGGTGTCTGAAAAAAGTAATGAAAACTGAATACTTTGAAATCTTGACGTTTTGAAGTTATTGTAAGCATGGTAACTGTTTAACCATAATGTAACTGTTTATCAACCCCAAAAAATTGATAACGTCATCTCAAAATTTTGCGAAAAAATTTTTTCGCCAATGTGCAAAATATGATTAGACTATACTTGTAACTAATCATTGCATTCATATTTTTTAGATTTGCCTATACAGGATGACTAAAAAAATTAATGAATCAGTCAATTTATTATTGATGAAATTAAGAACGAGCCATCCCATTGTCTGGAAGATGTGAGAATACCCTCGTCTTCATAACAATAAAATAATGATAAGGTAAGAATTATAATAGCATTCAGAATATTGTGTTCAATGGAGGTTTATGAATAATTTTAGTCATCTGTTTTGAGGCGATGAACTCATTCAAATCAAACAAAAGTCTATGTGACATTCTTCCGATGTATAAAGATTAACATTTTTAATAGTACGCATATTGCTCAGATAGCTCTATTCTCGTTGATAATGTGCTGCATATAGATTTTTTGCACTCATGACCCTTTTTGATGACTTTCGCTCATTCACCAGGATGCGGGACGTCTAACTTCCCGCACACGTGCTTTTTGCTTTCCGTCGCCATGGTAACCTTAAAATAGCCCGGAAGCGTCAAATTGCTACGTGTTAACAGCGCCGTTAACGTCGTTGTTTATAAATAAATCTGGGCAGTCGAAATTTATTCATCCATACTACCCGTCTGCAGTGTGGCCGGTGCAACCTTGCCTTACTCGCTTCTCGCTTTTCAATTGTGCATTATTTTTGATAATTTATACAAATAGTTTTATTTTCAGCGAGACCGACATTTGAAAATGATTAAAATTATGTCGCGGATATGGATTTTGAAATCATCACATGACGTTCAGTTAACATCAATTTTCTCATAATTTTCTTCTCGATACGTAACATTGACTGCGAGACACTGGTCTGTCGTGGTAGGGGTCCATACGCAGCGCATAAATTTCAACTGCCTAAATATAAATAACTCACAGTTAGTATTGTCGATTTAAAAGTTTATTCGTTGCAAAAAATATTGTACACAACACGTTCGTGAAGCCTGCTTCTCGTTTAAATTTGCTTAAACAGGTGGCTTACAAAATCAATGAATGAGACAATTCATTTAATTCATTAAATCAGGAACGGCTCACTCGATTTTTCCAGAAAATTTTGGGAATACAATACAGTTATTTTTAGTATTAGACTGCACCAATCCAAGTTGATATACGTGGCCTTGCAAAAATGTTGATAACGTCATCACAAAATTGTGTAAAGAAGAAACTCAACCCGAAAATGCTGGATATGTTACATTGTAGGTCAAGAACGAGCGAAGTTCTGTCGAAACAAATTTCGACCAATTTTTTGCTGTTGTAATTGATGTCTGTGTTGAAAATTGTTCTAGATCAGCAGTTACATGTCTTCTGCTAGCAAATAATAAAACAAATAGTTCACGACTACTTATTGAAATCCGACTCTTTATCAGCAGATGTATTTTTGGCACTTCAAGTCCGGGAGTACCCATAATGTAATAAATCAATGTGACTAGCCCTCGTGATTCATGCCATTCGATTTATGGAAGTTACGATATGAGCGATATTATTAACTCTACCAAATGTAAACACCATTTATCTAAATTCTGTTGAGGTGAGGCGAAAAAAATCTCTTTCCCATCTTCAACAAATAATCCCCTAATGTTTGTTCTTGCGCCTTAGTAAATATTGGGATGCGTCTCCCAAGTTTTATATTTACTATTTTTAATTTTAAAATCTGCTCATCAATATGCTTCTTGGTTTATTAAAATCTTGAGATGCTTGAATAAAGGGTTTTATTAAGTTATTTGTGTATTTACGGCATACTGAAATTTATAAAAACATAGGTATTTCATAAAAAATAAAATTTAGTCGTAGACGAGTAAACCGAACATTTTGTACATGATGGTCCCCTCGGTACCTAAACGCATTAAAATCTTTTCATTAATTGTGTTTTAAGAATCAACTAGCTTTACACAAAACAGGCAAATGGGTTTGAATTAAAGCTTACATACAACTTACGAGTTAAATCCGCAACCGCCGTTAATAACTATTTTATTTTC